TTCAAGCGATTCTTCTGCCTCAGCCTCTTCAGTAGCTGGGATTACAGGTGCGTGCCACCATGCCTGGCTAACTTTTTGTATTTTTAGTAGAGACGGGGTTTCACTATGTTGGCCAGGCTGGTCTCAAACTCCTGACCTTGTGATCCACCCGCCTTGGCCTCCCAAAGTGCTGGGATTACAAGTGTGAGCCACTGCACCCGGCTCAAACTCTAGTTTTCAACACTTCTAAACTCCAGTAATTCAAGTCTTGGTTCTGGATTGAGGACTAGTTCTTTTGATTATGAGGTGTCTCTAAATGGCTTCTACCTGTAATTTGAAAGCAGAACATACCTATGTTGACCCCTCACCTTGGGGCCCACCTTCCTAAAACCACATAGTTACTATGTAAAAAGCTTTTTGCTTTTGTGAGAAGTTGGACCCCAGATGATATACCAGGAAACATCTATCACTTTTATGACTGATGAAGACTGTTTTGCAAAACATATACACATATGCATGTAGCAAACTTCTACTCTAGAATGCATATACGAGCTAATTGACAGACATCATTTATTAGTGTGCTTAGTAGTGTTTTTTTTCTTGACACTTGGAATAATTTTCCCAATTATATTACATGCCCCTGGCCCCTGGCATATATAATATAAAAATAAATGTATACTTTCACATATTATAACTTATATTTAGGTAAAACTAATAATTGAGATTTTATTATTTTGAGAAATAATTTTTATGTTTATGGCTTTATTCCTTAATGTTAAAAACAATATATTCAAAATTACTTTAAAGTCGGTTTTCAAGTCTTTTCATTTATATATCTATTTCAGTTATTCACTGTATCAGTCAGGATACTGGCAAAAATCAAAATTTAACTAATCTAGTTCAATGAAAGAGTTTAATGAATGGATGATTTATTGAGATGCAGGTGGGGTTGAAGGAACCAAAAGGATGTGAAGACATCTAGGAACTAGCAACGTAGGAAGCTGTTAACAGGCTTAGACCCCGTAGGGGAGCCATAAATGGCTTTCCTCTACCGTCCTAGGTTCTTTGGCTAGGCTATGAATTACATTGATATAAGGCCAATTAACAGGAGAAAAAAACCATTTTAATTGTGTACATATGCCTGGAGTTTCACAAAATATGAGACTGAAAGATGGGTCAGATGATTGAAGTCTGTGTAGCCTCCTGAGCTACAGAAGGAATAGGGATGTGGGGCTTCTGGGGCTTGGCAGCACACAGGGCAGGGGAGGGTGAGGAAGGAAATGTGTGGTGGTAGAGGGTGTCTTGTTCTGCAGACGAAACCTCTCTCGGGTAATAAGAGTCGTCTCTGAGCAGCCCTCAGAGGAAGCGATGACAGTCTGTCTGAGCATGGTGTCAGCCTCAAGTCTCTCCTGTGTTCCCCAGGGAGGGAGGTCATGACAACTGACCTCCTTCCGAAGGAAGTTCAGAGAAAGCCCTTCCCTATACTTGCTGTTCCCCAAGTGCCCCCAGTGGGAACTAACCAGCACACCAAGCAGCACATTTCAGGGTGATGTTTCCTGAACTCCTTCAACCTAAAGGGAAAAGAGGAGGAAATAATATTCCTGGAACTCAGGGAGAGGTGGGGCTGTGGAGGCAGGGCCACCCATGGAAACTGTAGCTGTGGAGGGCACAGCCATGCCAGAGCAACATGGAGGAGAGGAAATGGGAAGAGAAACCTCATGTGTCTCTCCTTCCACCTTCCAACCTCCAATGGCCTGTAGTCAGTGCAAAGCCACCCAGCAGGAGAGCTGAATAAGGAGCCCCAAGGGTCGGGACAGAAGTGGGCAGAGGAAGGTGGAGAGCAGAGAATGAATGGTGAGAGGAAAAATGAAAATAATCAGTTTATTCACTCAACAAATATTTTAAAAAGGATTGCTATGTTCCAGACACTGGGCTAAGTATACTTGACTCGACAGGCTTTGTTTGGGATTTGTAAGTAGATCTGTTGGGCACAGCCTTAGAGGCAGATTCTTTCTTCTTGAATATTATTTCTATTTACAGCATTTCAATAGGAATAGCTCTGTGCGGATTAGATTGCCAATGAAGTTCACTACTTTTTGCTTCTGCTTGCTGTTCTACATAATGGCACATTGTGAAAAGCCGTAAGTATAGAGCAGGCACGACTTCTTATAATTAAGTGTACGGGTAAAAGCACAGTTTAATCTGGAATTTTGCATAAGGGAGTTTTCTAGGCTTTTTGTTGGCTTTAAAGAAAAAGCACAAATAAGGAAGCAGAATACAGGAGAGGAGACAGGAGTCAGGAACAAAAGCAAATAACTTAATGAGCTATTCAAAGGCAAATTCACAAACTGCGCTTCTTGAAGCCTTAATAAGAAGGATAGAGGCTATAGAATCAGGTGAGGAGTTCATATTATTACTGAGAATGTGGTGTCTGGAGAAAGGCAATGGAGTATCATCAAAGAAGCAGCATTCTGCTAAAAAAAAAAATTCTAGATCAGAAATCATAGAACATGGTTCTTACTTCAGAGCTTCATAACTCCGTCTGTGGAGTGGCCAATGAGTGTGTAGTTCCCTATTCTACCCTCTGGCAACTTTGAAGGCCTTTCCTTTTCTTTTTAAGTACTGCCCCATCCTCTCCTGTCATAGAAGGCAAGCAGAAGGATTTCAAACAGTACAAGTGTATCTTATAGCACACGCTAGATTAGTTCCTTTACTACTTTATATAAACTAATATTTCTTAATGAATGGATAAGGCTTGAGAATTGGAGCATCTGCCTCTGCTTGAGGTCTTGCTGCTGTGGAAACTGTGGACAAGTCACTTAACTCCTCGTTTCTCTTGATTCATTCAGTCACTCAATTACCTCATCTGTGAAGTGAGGGTAGTGTCTAGGGATCAACTGGAACACAGAGGGGGCTTTAGGAAGCCAAGAATCACATTAACTTGTATAGAAAATAGTCTGTGTAGTTGGGGCACAGTGGCTCAAGCCTGCAATCCTAGCACTTTGGGAGGTTGAAGCGGGTGGATCACCTGATGTCAGGAATTCGAGACCAGCCTAGCCAACATGGTGAAATCGCATCTCTACTAAAAATACAAAAATTAACCGAGCATGGTGGCAGGTGCCTATAATCCCAGCTACTCGGGAGGCTGAGGTAGGAGAATCGCTTGAACACAGGAGGCGGGGGTTGCAGTGAGCCGAGATTGTGCCAGTTCACTCCAGCCTGGGAGATAGAGTGAAATTCCATCTCCTCTCAACAAAAAAAAAAAAAAAGAAAAGAAAAAAGAAAAGAAAAGAAAAGAAAAGAAAATGGTCTCTCTGTGTATCTGCATGTTGATGTGGATCAGCACATTTCACCAGATTCTCCAAGACATTTGTGGCCCCTAAAAAGAATTATACAACTCAAAACCAAAATAGATTAGGCAAATCCTATTTTAAACTAAAAAATTCTACAACTTTTGGTTTAGATTACAATTTTAGAACTGCCTCCCTCAAGTCCTTTTCTTGAACATCAATTGATAGTGCCTTTGCCAACTCTAGGTTTAAGTTCCCATCCTCTTCCCAGTTTTAATGATCTATAAACAAATAAAGCAGTGTCTTAACAAGGAGATGTCATCAACTATATTCGAAGCATTCTAATTTAGAGGACCATTTCTTACAGTTTAATAAATATGCCCTATTTTATCTGTTTTAAAAAAATCACGGTTTAATATTTGTTTTTTTATAACATGCGAGGAACTACATACAGCTTGAGATAGTTAATACAGTTTCAGACCAGGAGACGATCTTGCAGTAGTATTGGCCAAAAGACCTTTCTGAGATGATGGAAATGTTCCATGACTCTCTGCTGTCCAATATGGTGGCCATTAGCTACAGCTGGCCATTGGGCACTTAAAATGTGGCTAGTGCAACTGAAGAATTAAATTTCTAATTTTATTTAATGTTAATTTATTTAAAATTAAATAGTCACAGGTGGCAAGTGACTATCACATTGGACAACACAGAAAATGTCCCACATGATCCATATTAGGCACAGGAAATCCCACAACACCTTCTAAAGCAGGCTTTCTCAACAGTGATGCTATTGACATTTTAGGCCAGATAATTCTTTGTTGAGCGGGGGGTATAGTCCTGTGCATTGTAGGCTATTTAGGGGCATTCGAACCTTTACCTACTAGATATCAGTAGCACTTTGGACCCCTATGCCCACCCCACCAGTTGTGACAATGTTTGCAGACATTTCCAAATGTCGCCTGCAGGGCATAGGTGCCCCAAGTTGAGAGTAAGTTGTCCTTGAGCTTTTTCTTGAAATTACTCAGGGATGAGGCACCCTGCCAGATAGACCACTTTTATGTTGGGTTCTTGACATTATTAGGAGGTTATTTCATACATCTTGCTGCTCATCATTTCTTCTCCTTGCTAGTCTTTATACTTGGCAATTGTGGTAAGCTGCTGAGGAGGAAGGTGAAAATAAACAAGCTAGTTGAAACGTGTCAGTATCAACACGAAACACATCTATAGTGGTTAAGAGTGTGAGCACTGAAACTACAGAGAACGGGTTCAGCTTCTGGCTCTGTCAAGAACTAGCTGTGTGGTCATCTGCAAGTTAATTCAGTTCTCTGTTTCTCAGTTTTCCTATTTGTAAAATAGAAATGGTATAACCAGAGTTGTTTTAGGATTGAATGCAATGATGCCTATAAAATGCTTGGCTATTATTATTAGCAAAACTAATAACAGCAGCACCCTACTTTCTTGTTGTCCTAATTGTTGTTAAATATGGTATCTCATGTGACCTTCCCAATGAATTTTTTGTTTTTATTTTTTTGAGACAAGGTCTCACTCTGTTCCCGGGGCTGGAGTGCAGTGGCTTGATCACAACTCACAGCAGCCTTGACCTCCTGGGCTCAGGCGATCTTCCCACTTCAGCCTCCCAAATAGGTGGGACTACAAGTGCATGTCTTCATGCCCGGCTAATTTTTTGTATTCTTTTTTGTAGAGATGGGATTTCACCAGGTTGCCCAGGCCGATCTCAAGCTCCTGGGCTTGAGCGATCTGCCTGCCTTGATGTTCCAAAGTGCTGGGATTTACAGGAGTGAGCCACTGTGCCCGGCCCTCATAATTTTGTAGATACTGTTATTCACATTTGATGAGTGAAAAATGTTGATGTTCATACCACTTAAGTGATGTGGTCAAGGGCCAGCTTGGTGGGTGAGAATGTCAGTTCACCCAGTTTCAGTTTGAGTGTTCTTTCTGCCAGACAGAAAGACCTCTGCACTATCTCGTGATCTCACCTTCTGGGTCTGTGACGTTCAGTCTGAGTGGTCCAGGTAGGGGGAGCCTATGTATTATAGGAAGAGCCCAGGGTGCAAAGGGCCTAGAAGCCACCTACCAAGATCTCAGCCTGAAACATTAAAGCCAGGGGATCTCAGAAGCCTGTGGAAAGCTGCTTGAAGCTCCCTCTGTACTGGGGGCTGGATAAAGCCACCAATGCAGGATAAAGGCCTCTGACAGGTGCCTCAATGGGGCTGGCACATGGGTCCTCCTGGGAATGGCATTCTGGGAATTGTAGTTTCTGCTTTGCTTCTGAAGTGCAGAGGAGACCTAGACAGGGCTGGTGGTAATGCTGAGTTGGCACCTGAAAACCCAGCACACGTCCAAGAGAGTCATTCCATCACCAGCAGATTAGAGGAAGCAGAGTGGTGTGTGGGAAAGACCTTGGGTCCAAGTGCCTCCTGTGGCACCTACGCGCCCATTGGGCAAGTCACTTCACCCCTCAGGCACTTTGCCTATTAGGATCAAGTAATATAAGACACTGACTGATTCTCACATCGTCTGTAACGCAGCGAGCACTCAGTTAAGGTTGTTCTTGCACCTCCAGCTACAGACAAGTGTATTCTGAGGGCTATTTGTCCAGAGAGCTCTTGAATATTTTGATACCAATGCTCTTTGAGCAGAGATTGCCAGTTGCCCCCATCCCACTCTTCTTTCCTCCATAGCAATAGGCCCTATGGCAGTTCAGAGGAAGACCACATTCTGGCCTCTTTTGAAGCTTGGTGCAGCCACATCCTCACCTGTGTCTGTAGCCAGAGGTGATGCATGCAATGTCCAGGCTTGCCTTTGAAAGGAAATGAATTTGTGCTGCCTCCCCTCTCCCTCTTTCTGCTTGCTGGGATGGGCTGTACTGATGAGAGCAGGGCAGCTAAGCATCAAGCCAGAAGGAATTGGGCTCCTTGTCCCTCTGGGATTGCCACAGCAGCCAGGACAGCTTGAGCTCAGACTACCAGGTAAGTGAAAAACAAACTTATCTTGTTGCAACTCCTGAGGTCTCTTTGTGATAACAGCTTGGCCTGTATTCTAACCATATATCATTGGATTCAAAAACTCCTACATAATTTCTCAATTATTATATTAAGGCAGCTTTCTGTAGGGGTGTGAAAGCTTGCTTGAGACAGATTTCAAGCCAGAATGGCCAGTATCTCACTTAGCCAGCTAATTTTATTTTGAAAGACAGAGCCTGAAAATATTGGATGAGCAAAACCAGTGTCAAAGTTAGGGAGAAGTATAAACGTCAGGCATGGACTCTGAAGGGAGCTGAGATTCCCCCAGGGGAAGCAGGCAGCCCTCTAACGCTGCAAGGTACGCTGCTACCGGGGACAGGAAGGGTGATGAGAAATGCTTCAGATGTTTAAGTGACATCTGAAGCCAGTGACATTTCCTGGCTTCCATGGGCACTGCTACTATTGAAAACAAACACATTTGATGGATGGAGCAATGCTTCCCGCAGCTGATGCCTGGGCGATCTGTGTTTATCAGAGCTGCACGCATGCTTCTACCAATAATCATAATTTAAAGATTCAAAGTGATAAAAGCATCATACTGAAATATCTGCCTGCCTTCACTGCAGGGCTGGCTTCACAGACACAAAGAAACGGAAGGTATCGCCACAGTTGTGGGGATGTCGCCATACACGTTTATGGTGGCATTTACTACATCATAACCTCCTCAGTAGTATTGATGTCCTTTCTCTAGACCATGAGTCCTCTGTGAATTACTTGCCTTTGCACTTTCTCCTCCTAGAATGATCAATAAATATCTAAATGAATGAGTCTAGTTCAACCTTCTCACTTTGCAGTCATTTTTTCAAAGTCACAATTAATTAATTGCAGAAAAAAATCTGCTTTTTCTCTGGTAAACTGAGAATAACGTTTTTCTCCAGGCTTAGATGACTTGGGCAAATCTCTTGTTAGGATTCCTATAACCCAGACCCACATAAACACAGAAAACCACATACCTATATACACAGACATGCACTTAGATACACACAAACACCCAAGCACATGAGCAAAAACAAAACCACACAGGCTTTTACACAAAACACACACACATAATCACATGGGTTATACATGTGAATTTCAGTTAAAAAATGAGCAATTTTTTCATATACATAAGCCCTAAATAGGCATCCATAAATACACATGGACATACTTATACTAAAAGAATGATTTGCTGAGATAATTTACCTGAAATTCAAATTAAATTGTGCACCCTGTATTTTTATTTGCCAAACTGGCAACTGTAACACAGACACACATTTAGATTCACATGCACAGACCCATGCAGAAACACACAAGCGCATACATCCAACTATACACACAAACACATACACACCCAAGACCTAGTTTCTTTTAACAGATCCTGACAAGACCAAACTGGCCATTAGAATAGTAGTTCTAGCTTTCCCCTGGAGAGCTGGGGAGATGCCAGGGTGGGAGGGAGTGATGAAGGGAATGGTGTGGCTTGGAAAGGAGGCAGGAGGATGAATCTCTGCTCACAGCGGTCCTGTGTGGTGGGGCAAAGGGGAAACCCATTCTGCAGGCAGGGATGTGAGGAGCTGCTTTAGAGAAAGGACACCTCCCCCAAGACACACACAGGCACGTATACACACGCACACACAATCTTACTTCAGCATTTGGAATCACATCGGTAACCGTCAGCAATTTCTTCTGCATGATTTTGTAAATAGGTTCAAACTCCAGAGAGAAGCATTTGCCTCCAGAAATCTGTGATGCTGAGTTTACAAGTATCCTTGGCAATGAATGATGGGGTGGGCTTGGATGAAATTCTACCTCAGTTTAGGGGGCTACCATGTAGCCCTGAGTTAGAGAGCCGGTGGGGAATTCCTGATTCTACTTCCCTTGCTGCCCCTCACCCCATGACCCTTTTCCATGACACAGCCACAAATATCGACTGAGTTCTCCTCAGAACAGTCTCAATCTGCCTTTTGCTCTTCATTCCCATGGTCATGGCCCTCCTCAGACCCCTGTGATCTTTCACCTGGATGTTGACCTCAGCCTCTTCCCCCTCACTTCCAACCTGCCAACAAATTTATCTTCTGAGATGTTACCAGAATGAGGTTTGATCATGGTCCTCTCTCTCTTAAAATCCTTTGATGGAGGTCAGTTTTCTCCACAATGAACATGAGCATGGCCTCTAAGACCCTTCAATATCAGAACCCATTCCAACCTCAGTTCCCATCTTTTCACCTCAGACATTCTGTCTGGCCACAACAAAATGAATTCATTTTCCCACAAACATCCAACCAATTACATGGCTTAGCTTCTTTCAGCATTCTCTGTGCATGGAGCATCCTTCACCGCCTCCCTTGCCTAGTGAATTAATTATCCTTCAGATCTACTTCAAATATCCTCTCCAACCCCATCCCACACTGCCTCCCAATCCTGTGGAATTAATCACTCACTCCTCTGTGCACCCACAGCGTTTGCATACACTTCTTTCTCACTTACCATTATAGTTATTTATTGACATTTGCAAGCTTCTCTCCCCCACAAGCTTGTGAGATTGTCTGGGGCCGTGGTTAATTCTTATTCATATATGAACCACCAGTGTCCAAGATGGTGCCTGCCACAGAAGAGGGTCTTAGGAAGAGATGTTGTTGGTAGAATTTTACTGGTAGCAGTGTGCATTGGAGTTCATGGAAGAGGCTTTGGAATCAAAAAGACCAAGATTCAAATCTAGCAAACTCCATTTATTAGCTCCAAATTACATAATATCTCTATAGCAAGGCAGAATAACGCCCTGCCCCATCAAAGATGTCCATGTTCTAATTCTTGGAACCTGTGAATATGTTGCATACATATCAGAGAGAAATTTTGATTGCAGATCAAATTAAGGTTGCTAATCAGCTGACCTTAAGGTAGGGGGAGTATCCCAGGTTATCCAGGTGGGCCCAAAGTTATCCCAAATTTCCTTGTAAGAGAGAGATGGAGACAGAATTGAGGACTAGAGTGATGTGATGTGAGGACTCAACCCACCATTTCTGGTTTCAAGATGGAAGGGGTCACAAGCCAAGCAATGTGGGCCGCCTCTAGAAAGCTGGAAATGATACAGACACAGAGTCTCCCTATGGAGCCTCCAGAAAGGGATGCAGCCCTGTCAATACCTTAATTCTAGTCTGGTGAGTTCCATTGCAGACTTTTGACCTCCAGAATTATAAATTAATGAATTTGTGTCTTAAGACATTACATCAGAGGTAATTTGTTATAACAGTGATAGGAAATGTATACCAGCACTAAACCTGTCCCTTCTTTGGCAAGGAAGCCAATAATGGTCCCAGTTACCCACGGTGGTGATGAGAACCATGAAAGTTAAGCATGTGGTGCCTTGGCACAGTGCTTTGCACAGGATAAAGGCAGTGGTCAAAGCAGCAGCAGCAGTAGTAGTAGTTCTAGGAATAATAATATTATTGCCATTTAAGGTAGTCGGGGAGGTCAGCTGGGAGTTCAAAGAAATACCCGAGAAGAAGCAATCTGATTGAGTCTTGCAGGAGAGGGCAGTGGGTCCCAGGGAAGGCACGAAGGTGGCCATACTGAGGAGGGGGATTCAGGAAAAGGAGGTGGGTGTCAACCGTTGAAGACACCCCCCTCTGTCACAGAGAAGCTGCACAAGCTCAGGTGAGTTAGGGAGTTGGTCCCATCCCTTCCTTCCCCTTTAAAACTTCCTGGCCAATCCTGTACTCTTTTTTGTTTGTTTGTTTTGCTTTATTTTTAATTTTTATTTTTATTTGAGATGGAATCTTGCTCTGTCGCCCTGGCTGGAATACAGTGGCGTGATCTCGGCTCACTGCAACCTCTACTTCCCGGGTTCAAGTGATTCTCCTGCCTCAGCCTCCCAAGTGGCTGGGATTACAGGCGTCCACGACCATGCCCAGCTAATTTTTGTATTTTTAGTAGAAACGGGGTTTCACCATGTTGGCCAGGTTGGTTTTGAACTCCCGACCTCAGGTGATTCACCAGCCTTGGTCTCCCAAAGTGCTGAGATTACAGACATCAGCCACCAAGCCCAGCCTCCTGTACCCTGTACTGTTTTATAATGTTGGCTGGGACAAGTGGCCAGGGACAGAGAGGGGACAGGTCAGCATTCTGGGAGTCCTGAGGACAAGGCCTCTAGGCTCTTTTTCTTCCATTCTGGATATCTCCTGGAGACTCCAGAGACGCCCATCTTTACCTGTGTAGCTGAGACCTTTGGCTAAGCAAGAACTGCTATTGAGGTTGGGAACCTGGGTTTAGACCAGGTGACTCTATTTACTAGCAGATGCCCCTGGACAAGGCAGCTTCTCAGACCCTGGAAGATGATGGGACCAGATCTATGGTTTTCAATCTATGTTTCAGGGGATTCCTCAGGGGCTGTCATTGTGGGACCAGGCCCAAAGAGAGTCCTCGGGCTCCTGCTTGCCAGTGTCATCCCAGCACCTCTGTGTTTACCTTTCATGGAGATTAGAATTTCACACAGGCTTTGGTTTGGGCATTGGGGGAGTTGTTGGGGGCGGGGGGAAACTTTGAAAATCACCAGAGAGATCATCATTTCCAGCTTAAAGTTCAATGATATTTGGCCCAAGCACACAGTGAACATAGGTTATATAATGGGAGAGTCAGGAAGAATCTTTTGGGGGGTTGATTAACACTGCCTCCTGTCAGAGAACAGAAGGTCTATAATCAGGAGAAAATACTTTCTTTTCAACTGGCTTCTGCCTGGAGGTCCCACCATCTGGTGGAGAATCCTCCCTAGAATGTGGACAGCTGTGTGAAGACCCACCTGCTGTGGGAGTAACAATGGCTCAGGCCAATCCTCCTTCCCCACCATGTGGGAGAGCTGGCATGTTACCAACGCCTGGCCTCCTGCATCCCACAGCTCCAGGCCTGGGTCCTGCCCAGGTGGGTTTCCCATTTAGAAAGTGAGATCTGGAGCCCTGATTCTCAGCCCTGACTGTACATCTGATCACCCAGAGAGTTTAAAAAGCTTGATGCTCAGGTCTTCAAGTTTCAGACCTATAAACTCATTATCTCTGGGTGTGGGACAGGAGGATGGGCCCATCCAGCAAGAGACTCCTGACCCCCCGAGGGGCCAAGCCTGCAGCCCTGGAGATGCCCTGGAACCCTCTCTGCAATGGCAAAACATGAATTATATCACCACCCCCCTTCTCACTCCAAATTCTAGAATGACTATGGCTGTGATTTTGCAGGGTGTCATCAGCTACGCAACTCATCGTAGCGGCCTATAGCTCAACAGGTCTCTCTTCACTTGTCAATGGTTTTTCTCCAGTGATCATTTTACTGGAGAAATTGTTCAGCTTGGTCTTTTGAGACAGCTCAGGATCTTACATATGATATGTTTCATGGCTGTCATAAAGATGAATGCCCTTGAAGCCTGCCTTTATTTGAGTGAGAGGTGCTGAGTACGTTGAATAACAATAAACCGCATTACATATTGTTATTATTGCTCAGCAGGAAAAGAACTATCTGTACAGGGAAATAAGCCAAGTTTCATTAGTCAGCTCACCTATCATGCATTTGAAATAAACCTAGTGTGTATTCTTCTTAATATGACATCTGAGATTAGAAGTCGGTGTCAAAGTCAAACACCAGGAGAAAACAAAGACAAACACAGCTCTCTGGAAGGCTCCATTCTCATTAGAGTTTGCCCAAACATTTAGATGACTTGGTTATTTTTTTAGCTCGTGACTTTACAGATAAGCTAACTTTTAACCAGACAAAAACACATAATGTGTCAACCTTTGGACGTGACTACAGATGGGCAGGGGTGTTTATGTCCAGGTAGACTCTGTAGATACTCCTTAGCTGAGTTTTTAGTAGACTGTTAGCTCCCAGTGTCACAGTACTTTAGTCTTAGCCACAGAAAGCTTTACTAATTTGGGCTTGCTGTCTTTTCCCATCTTCTGTCTTGGTTCATTTGGAGGAGCTACGAAACAATAGAGTGAATGAAAAGAGCAAGGAAGGGAGGCAATGAGGGAGGTGGAGGTGGGGGTTGAAGAGAAAGAACAATTGAGAAGCCCCTGCGGTAGTTCACATTCATGCTTTGCAGATGTTAACCCCGTCTGAAATCTCATAATAGCACTACGAGGTAGCCCCATTCTCACAAGCGGGATCTTGCTGAACCCTAAGCTCCAGGAGCAAATCTGGTTTTGCTTATCAGTGTACAAGAGGCCTCAAATAAAATGGTTTTGTTTAATATTATTTTGTTATAACACTGATGAGAACAAAATTTGATTCTTGGCCGGGGCCATAGTCTACATGAAGTTGACACATTCTCCCCGTGCCTACGTGGATTTTCTCCAGGGCCTCAGGTTTCCTCCCGCATCCCAAAGATGTGCATGTCAGGTACTTTGACGTGTCTCTGTTGTCCCAGTCTAAGTGTGGATGTGTGTGAGCGCACCCTGCAATGGGATGGCGCCCGGTCCGTGGCTGGTTCCTGTCTGGTGCCCTGAGCTGCCAGGAGAGGCTCCGGCCACCTGAGACTCTGAACTGGAATATGTGCTTAAATAATGATCTTACTTGTTTTTATGAACCTTTCTTAGATGTCCATTTCACTCACTATCATTTCAATGTTTAATATTAGAAGTGTTTTGAGTCCTTAAGAAGTTTGGGGATATTTTTGTGACCAGAAAAACGCCATAGGAACTTCACTTCTGTTTATCTAACTCAGGCTGTGCTAAAATTGATTTTGTTATATGCTGTTTCACTTAAAAATCACAGTTTCCAAGAACCTATTGATGACATTAAGTGAGGACCTAGCCCATCGGGGGAGGTTGAATGACTTGCTGAGGGCAATAGAGCCAGCAATGGAGTCAAGCTTTGACCCCTGGCCTGTCTGATGCTCAAAGCACTTTGCACATTGGTCCACAGTGACTGTGATCCGAACATCTGTGCTTCCCAGCCAGGACTTTGCACAGGACAGTCATGGGCACCTTTTTTGTGGTGTGGGGAATTAGGCCACAGGTGCTCCTCCTGAGCTGCAAGGCTTTACTCAGCTGAGTGTGCCTGTGTGCATTTCCAAGAGCCTGTTTTATTGTAGGTGAGAATGGAAACTGAGGGCAGTGGAATCCCCTCCTTCTGCTTGCCTGCCCCCTTCACCAAGCACACATCTGTACTAAGTGGTATTTCTACCGCTGTAAGAGCACGTGACATCTCAGCACAAGTTGAATTGAGTCTTGACTCCCAGTTTTTTTGAGGCATTCCCAGCTGCTACCAAGTGCTGCAAGATGAAGGTGGGGGAGGCTCAGCAGATGGGAAGACACTACCAGAGAGGCTACCCTATCGCTTAGCACATGTTTGTATGTTTTATTACCTTCATTATCTCACAAGTAACCAGTGCAGATTGAAGCAAAGTTAGGCAATATAACTGAATTCAGAAATCATGAACGGATGGACAATTATGCAATACATAGCCCAAAGAAAGATTAAAAATATAGAAAGGAAGTCAATGCCAGCTCTTTACCTGGAACTCTAGGCTACATTGAGTTAATTTTTAGTGAAAAGAGAAAATCTAGAATAACTCAATAATACTCAGTTTTTCCCTCCATGATGTATGTATCTTTTTTTCATTAGTAAACTATGGTCCTGTCCTGAAACCTAAAAATAAAAATACAGTGAAGAATTTTTAAATAAATAGATACATTGCCAACAAT